CAGCCTTTACTCAGAGCAGTGCCCAGGAGATCCTGCTGGGGATGTTTATGGAAGGAACCTGTTGTTTTACCAGTGGGAATTAAATACCCCTGTTAGGATTACCCAAGGACTCCAGTTGCTCTGGTAGTGTTGCTTATGTTTCTTGAGATATTTGCTTCGAGCACTGCATGTGCTCCTGATCTCAGTGTCTCACAGCTTTGGTTGCCTCAGTGCTCTCACCGTAGCTGTTTCTGAACTGTTGTCTCTTCAGTGAGGATGTCTCAATAGCTTTATTTTTCCCCTCAGCTCCTTGCTGAAGGCCTTTGTGTCTGTCAATATCCATCCTCCCTCTGTGTGGAAACACTCAGAGGAGAACATGCTGTTAGGATAAAACTGAAAATCCTGCTCTGTATGGATTGTGAAGGTTGGAGTTAGCACAAAGTCCTTAGCTCACCTGCTGTGCCTAGATGCTCGAATTTGAATTTCAGAACTGTTTCAGAAGATCTAGCACACGAATGTGCCAAATCCTTGATGTGCTGAGAGCAGTTCTGCCTTTCCTCTGTGCTGTGCAGAGTCCAATCCCCTTCCCACCTCCCATAGGTGGTAGTTAAGTGCAGCATTTCACATAACAGCAAATGAATGATCCAGTTATTGTGGTACATTTCTCCAAGGCTGGTTGCTCTTTTATGTGATTAATTGGCAGCTTGCACCCTATTTGAGTCCTACAGGCACATGTCAAGTGACATTTAGTCTGAGACTTGACATTTAGTTAGAACTAACAAAATGTTCAGTACATGAGGTGATAGGAGCTGAACAGGTAGGTAAGTAGAGGTAGAAGTTGCTGCTGTGGTGCACTCAAAAAGCAAAACAAGAGTGCCTGTAATACAATGAAAAACAGCCTTGAAAAGGCTTGAAGGACCAGTCCTTTTTCACTAGATCATTAGAACTTTTGCCAAATGTATTTAAAGCTCAAAAAAGCAAAAAGAAAAAAAAGAGAAAAGCATGTTCCTGACCAAAATGTTATGTCCAATATAGCACAAATTAACAGAGCAGAAAATGAATCAGATAATAGCAGTGCATAAGTTGTCAGGTTAATTCTCAGGCTCTTGGGAGTCCCATCATAAACTGCAGCTAAACAGAATCTACAGACTTGGAGCAGAAAGAGAGTAACTACTTACTTGCTGCAGTTTCTGCTCTGGCAGCTCACTAAGAGCTCCTTGCAGACCTCCAGCTTGTTCTAGGGGACTTCTGGACCAAAAAGACATCTAGGGAGTGTTTCTGCCAGTGCACTACAGTTCTAGCAACAGCTGTCAGGAGTAACCATGGATGTTTTGACTTCTTCCTCAATTAATGTTTGTTAAATGGAACTACTGTGCCTAGACTCATTTGGGTTGGAGCTTCACATCCTGCAAGACAACTGTTGGAAGCCTGAGATTAAAACATAGCAAGTTTTGGCAAATGCATTGTCTCTTAACCTCTTTCTGTTAGGTTTGTCTGGTAGCATTTGAAATTGTAAAATGGTTTCCTGTTAACCTTCGGTATCTTTTCCTTCAGCTTGCAAGTAAAACCCAGTATCAGAATAAAAAGGAGCAAAAGTAGGGTTTCTTTGTCAAGAAAACTTGTAAGCAACAAAGCAAAGCACATTGGGCAAAACTGTTTGGTAATTGTTGCAACACAGCAGATATTTGTTTTGCTTGATTATTTATCTAGGTAGAAGTGTAGGTCAGAACAACTCCAGCTGCAGTAATTTTATGATCTGTACATCAGTGCAAATGTCTGAAAGCTTTGTTATCTGTTTCAAGAAGCAGTTTAAAATAACTTGCTAGATCAGCTTTATTCCTGAGTGTTAGATCTGAAACATGCTGGTTTACTAATCTTTCCATTTTGGAGCATTTTGCTCTGCTTAGCAAGTCAACAGTAATCACAAGTCTGGGGAATGTTGATTGGGATAACTTTAGTGTTCAGCAAAATTGTTTAGAAAGCAAAAATGTGTCTCTAGAACTGCCTCGTGTTTCTGAGTATATTCCCCAAATGGAGATCACGTTCCCAGTCAGGTTGGCCAGGAACTCTCATGCCAAATTTGAGCAACTGTGGAGGGATGAACAACTTGAGCTGTTTTGATCTGGGGCTTGTGTTGGTGAGATCTTGAAAAGTGTTTGGCCATGAGTTAAAGTTGGGGTGAGATGTGGCCGAGGAGCTTGGTACCAGCTCTGTGCAAACTTCCTCACTGTGAATTAGACAGGACTTGTGAGTCTGGGAAAATGTCTTTGTGAAATCTCTAATCTGCTCTGCTGATTTAATAAAAGAGGATTATCCAAGCTACAGTGAGGAAACACATTCTGCTTCTTACTATGACTTGACTCAGTGACTTGATTCGTGATTTTTCATCAAGAATATCTGTCCAAAAAAAAAAAAGAAAAGCCAAGTAATGCTATTGGAGGGAAATGCAGTGTGTTCTGTAGGAATGACTTTCTGAACAGGTGAGGACTAGTACAACAGGGCAAATCACCAGCTCCATGTTCCTGAAGAGAGCAGTTCATTTGAAAGGACTTTGTTTCCAAGGGAATCCAGAAAACACATTCTCTTAGTTCTCTGCTGAATAAATGTCTGTCATGAGCTGAGCAGTACACACTGCCATAAGCTGCTGGTTCTGTGCAGAGGGCTGTGTGGTGGAGGCACTGACGCTGTGGAACATCTCTCTGATTCATGGCATTGCTATGTTTGAGTGGAAATCCACTAGCTGAGCTGTTTTCTCATCACTGGAGAACACTTTCCATGCTCCTTAGCTGGGTTATTCTTTTACACATCACCGTTAGCCTTTAAGTGAAACGATCCTCAGTTGGCAGAATTTTCAGTTTGGTCAGTTGGGATCTCAGAGCTGCTGTTTGGCATCTTTGGGGTTCCTGAAAGAGAGTGAGTTTCTGCCTTGCAAGATATTGTTGCAAAGGAACATTTATCGTTATGTATTTTCAGTAATTAGCAAAGCAAGTAATTACTGATGGTTTCTTGCTTTGATGTCTGCACTGTGGTTTTGAGGTGTTTATAGGAACGTAAATTACGGTTCGTGTTGGCCACAGCTGTTACAGAAACGTTGAACAATTGGGACTTCCTGAAATGTGATCTACTGCTGCTTTAATATTCTATATTGCTTGGAGTTGCCTTTCATTCCCAACAGATTCGACTAATGTTCCTAGAAACTTGCTGTCTTTGAAGCTAATTTCCAAATGTAAACAAATCTGCCCTGTGCCTGATGTTCTGGGCTGGAGACAACCTCAAATGCATTTCTGTAACACAGACACCAGTGGCTAAACTAAAAGCTTCCCGAAAGTGAAGCAGCCTCATCCAGCCTTGAATTAACCTTAAAACAGCCAGTTCATCCTGAAGTGCACTGCAGTTATCTGTAGCTACCTGGGTGTCTGTATCTGTGATGGATTGGTAGAAACTGGCTTTAATGGGTTGTGCCATCACGTGCTCTGTGTGGATTTGAGGGTTGTTGCTTTCTCTGGCCCCATAGGCCCATTTTTACTTGTGTTTTCCTTTTTCCATCTTCCTAACCTGAGCTGTTAGTGAGCCCTTGAACATGGCACTCTGGGGGTGGCTCAGAGTGGCCGCATTGGACACGTGCTGAAGTTCCAGTGCAAGCCCTGAGAAAGGTGTCTGAGCTCTCAGCTTTTATTTTGCTGTGCAGTGTCCCCTTTGACTTTCTTTTGACACTGTTCAGCAGAATACAGTCAGACTGTCTGCAGTTCCACTTCCAACTAGGGCATGTGCTTGGCCTTGTCTGGTGCCACCTCCTCTTTTCCTTCAGCTCTCTTTAAAACATACTCTCCCACAATCTGGCAACCTTTGTTGAAGTTTATTTTTAAAGGGGAAGGGAGGTAACATAGTGTGCAGCTGAAAGCATCATCCTGTTTAGTGTGTGCTTCCCTTATGCTTCCTTCTACTTCTCTTTGTGTTCTTTCCTTTGAGTCTCAATCAACTCAGAAGGGAAAAAAATACTTCCTAAAAACTCTGAGTGTCTTCAACTTTGTAGGCACAACAGAACTGTTTTATGCAGGAGACTATGGAAAACAGTGTTGGTTGTTGGTATAGGCAGATAGGCCCTTTTTTCCCTCACACAAAATCACCCTTTGGAAAAAAGGATGAATGTTTTTGTTCCAGGCAGGTTTAAGCATGGATGTTTTTACTGCTTTTTTTGTGCAGTATGTAGATAATTTACAGTAGAAGCTAGGTAAGCTGACTTTCAGGAACTTTTCCTCAGTTACAGGAGAGGGAATTCAGGTTGCAGATAGGTCACAGGAGGTCAGTGCTTTGGAAAATCTCAGGAGGACAGAGATAACCAGTCACACCTCTGCTGTGTGAGGCATTTAGGTGCATGGCAAGGAAATGCCTGTACCAGTGGCTCACAGAAACATCCATGATTCCTAAGTTAATTGTCCTACAATGCAGCATTTGGGAATGATTTTATTCCACACAGTTAACTGCTCTGTGATTCCTGCCTGACCTTCAGCTTGTCAGAACCAAAGCTTCTTGTACCTGGGGGAACCTAACTGGAATTCCTCCTTAGAAAACTGATTGTCAAAGCCAAATTGTCTTGCTTAAAGTTTGTAATTCTGTCAGTAATTGGTGACTAAATATCACTGTCCTGTTAGTGACTGATTTCAGCACTGATAATGAGAGTTTATTTGTAAGGGCTGTTGGTGTTGATGGAGCATCCCAGGTGAAACCCAAGGGGTTGACACAGTGGAAACTGATGTTATTTATAGTATGATACTCTGAAATGATTGCTTTAGTCTTTAGGATATTGCCTAGTGAATATAATTTCTTTTTTACATATAAGAATGTTTCTGAAAATGAGAAATATTTGGTGGTGGGCAATGTCCATATTTGCTGCTCTGAAACAGTGACTTTAACATAAGGTGTCTCAGTGAAAAAAATCTCATGTTGTATTGGTTAATGAAGCTACTGAAGGGTTTATCTTCTCACATTCTTAAATAGGATTTCTTTTCCTTCTCTTTTAGGAAATGCCCAATTCTGTCTTTTTGGTCATGGAGGTATGTGTTAACATGTAGGTTTGTTTCTGGCTGATTTTAGAGATGTCTTTAGACAAAACTGTTCCTTGGCACAGCTGCAAACTAATCAGCACTTGTTAAAAAAGCAATTCTGAAAAGTAGCTTATGATCCTTCCTTACCCCATGCCCCACTTAATTTATCAGCACTTTGTTCCATCAATTATTCCATTGCATTTTATGATACTGCAAGTATTGATGAAGTGTTACACCTCCAACTATTAATTACAAGTAATTGACAAAGCTGTTTTAAGGCAAACAGCTGGAAGGGATCTGATTTGCATGAGAAGGTTGCAGAGTTTTATAGCAAGTTGTTCAGTGCTTGTGTTTTGAATAACACCCTTTGTTTTTAACAGTACTGCAATGGTGGAGACTTAGCAGATTACTTACAAGGTAATTGATGATTATATTTCCCTATAAAGAAGTTTATATTCTGTATTCCTGATACCCATTGGTGTTTCTCTGGGCTGTTCCTTTCCTTGTGCTTTAAATATTGGGGATTGAGGGTGAATGTAGTAATGCACTGGCAAAAAATGCTTTTGCCACAGCTGAATGTAACATTCCCTTATTTGTAAATGAGGGAGAAGCTGTAGCTCAGCCTGGAGAAAAATGGGAGGATTTCTATGTCTAAAATTGTATTTTGAGGGCTGCTCGCAGTGTTTGAATTCCACCTGCTTTCTTTTTCAAGATGTGAACTTAAAAGTACTGAATGACTTACATAATAATGCTTTGAACAAAGAGGCTGTGCTGGCCTAGGAGTGATTTTACCCTTCAACGTGGCTCTGCCCAAAGTGAAGATACAAGTTACAGAATCCTGACAAATTGATTCTTATTCCAAACCAAATTTTGAGCAGAGATGTTCATCTTCTTTGGTTTTTTTTTTCTTGATGGAAATATTCTTCTCTTGTCTTTGTACCTCCAGTATGTTGAAGGAATCTTTTTGTGCACAGCTATTGTTATGGTAACTGTGTATATTAAAAGCCTAATTCCCTTCCCATTAAAGTCTTTGGAAAGACTCACACAGTGAAATCCAGCTCCTGTGTTCAGTACTTTTTCAGACTGCAGGATGAGATAATACCTTCTGAAGAGACTTTCAAGAGCACATCTCATTTTTTTTCCCCTTCAGTATAAATTTTATGATGGATAAAATTTCATAGCAGAGAGGTTTATCTCCATCCCCAAAATGGTTTGTTTAAAGAACAGGTTTTATAACTGCAGGTTGTGACACGATTATGCATACATTTCATGTTCTAAACTTGTGAAGTTCTTTTATTTTCTTGGCTCCTTGGCCTTTTTAGTGAGTTTAGGATTTAATAGTGATTGAGAAGTTTCGCAATTATGGTGAGAATTTGCAAGTTGAATAAACTACTTTAAGAACAGATGATTGAGTTCTGTAGGTAGTGTAAAACTATAGTGGTGTATGTGTTGTTGAGTATATACATGTGTAGAAAAACACTGGAGATTGGATCATTCTCAATGTAATTCACTATGATTTGATTGTACTTCACTATATTCAGTTGTCTTCGTTGTTGATCACTGGGAAGTCTACGACGTTTTGCCCATAGATAATGATACTGATTCTTCTTCCCTGCCAATGTGTTTCCAGCTAAAGGAACTCTGAGTGAAGACACCATCCGAGTGTTCCTGCAGCAGATTGCAGCAGCAATGCGCATTCTGCACAGCAAAGGCATCATCCACAGGGACCTCAAACCCCAGAACATCCTCCTGTCCTATGCCAGTCGGCGCAAGTCGAGTGTCAGTGGCATCCGCATCAAAATAGGTAAATGTGCTTTTCTCCCACCTGAGCCATCACCCTTGGCTTGTTCCCTGCTCAGAAGTGTCTGGAGGTAAAGCACAGAGGGTGTGCTGGATGTGGTCTGTGTGAGTTTGATGCCAGTCAGACAGTAAGGCAGAACCAGGAGCTTCATGCTCTGGTGCAGGTTCTCAGTATGAAAAAAGATGGACTCATAAAGACCTTTTTGGTTGAATCTGCAGGACAAAGAAACCTGTTAAGCTGATGTTTCTACTGTTAAACTATTTGAATTAGACATGAATATGTAACTTTTGAAACTTGGATTAGCCTTTAGCCCATTCATAGCATCATAATATCATAGTTTCATAGTATGTTAAGGGGTTGGAATGGACCTTGGAGATCATCCAGCCCCAATCCCCTGCCCTGGGCAGGGACACCTCCCACCAGACAAAATTGCTCAAGGCTTTATCCAACCTGACTTTGAACACTGCCAGGGTTGGGGCAGCCACAGCCTCCCTGGGCAACCTGGGACAGTGTCTCACCACCCTCACAGGGAAAACTTTTCCCTCATATCTAGCCTAAATTTCCCCTCTCTCAGTTTATACCCATTTCAAAACTGTGAGCGTGCAGGACTCCAGGCACAGTTCCAGATGTGGTTTTTTTAGTGGTAGACCCTCCTAAGTGTTATTTGAGAAGTTTAGAAATGTAGGTTATGACCTATTTTTGGCAGAGGAAGGTTTGGCATAGTAACGGGGGAGAGATGTCAACTGCTCAGGATACTACCAGACTCCTCTTCAGAGGCCACTTCAGGAGCTTTCATCTCTCATTGTCTGTTAAATGGGCATTTAAAAATACCTTGGTTTTAACCAGTTTCTTTCCTATGCTTTTGCTCAACCAAAATCTGAGATCTGTTCCAGCTCTATGAGATCAAGCTCAGATCTGTTCCATCTCCTAAACCTCACAAGGGAGGCAAAACAACTTCCCTTGTTGTCCTTACTTGCTACTTTCAGATGCTTTTGCCTACATGGAAAATTCAGGCATTTGAGACTTCTTAAACTTGTACCTGATGTGATTTCACTGAAGCAGATTGTATATTCATCACTCTTAATGAGCCAT